GTTATATATAAATATATAATACATATGCATATATTTCAGGTGAATAAATTTATTACTGATATTGAAAAAAGTGGCTTAAAAAAAAAGAGAAAAAAGTTGCTCAAAGATCACTGTTTCGAGAATTCTGGGGACCACCACTACATTATTCTGAAATTTAGTCAATGAAGGGAAAGTCCACCCTTTCTCCCTGGAGGCACCCAGTAAGCAGCTGCTGGAGGAAGAGCGTTCGTTTACCGCATCATTACAGCTAGAGCTATAACACCATTTGCCTTTCCTAATGAAGTGTGGATCTAGGCAGTGGTTAGCAACAGCAGTCTGAAGCCTCCAGAAGGCTGATGATTTTACGATGGACAGATTAGAATGATGCCAACTTAACCCTCTTCACCATTGTTATTATCACAAACAGAGACAGGAATCCATTCCACGCTTCCTGGTGTTGTACACTTCCTTGAATTATGCCACATGTACAGTAGTCATCCTCTCTAAATCTACTGGGATCTGATTGCATCTCTGGATTCAACTATCAGTTTCTAGGAAACATTGTGGACAAATGGCATAAATTAGAAGACATACAAGAGTGTGGTCTGCAAAATCTACCCTATGGGAAGCTCTGGGACAAGTTGTCTGAGTATTTTACCGTTTTAGTTTTGTGCATAGGTGTGTGTGTGTGTGTTGATCCTGGAGACCCAGCCCAAGCAAGGGCTTCTTGCCTGCTGAGCAAGCACTGTACTACTGAGCTATACCTTCTGCCCCTCCGTTTTCCTGTAGATGAACTGTAAGGGAAAGACGGAGCTCAGATTAAAGCAGCCTTCAGGCCCGTGCCGTGCGGTGTGAGCTGTGGTGTGTGCGAGGCCATTGCCACAGTGGTTACACGAGTTTACTGTTAGTCAGGGACTATGGAAAAGCCAGGACTTTACTGATGCGTGGCACGAGAACAGCAGCAATCCGAGGGGACTGTCCCACGCAGTGAAAGGCTGAACTTTTTATATTTGATTTTAGCATAAGAAAGACTATGGAAGCATCATCCCAGGAGCACTTTCATCAGGTCATGGTGCTTCCGCTGTCCATTCTCACTTCTGAGGGTTGCCAGCTTTTCGTTGGGAGGCTGAGTAGTTTTGTGTGATAGTGTCTGGTGCCCTCGGCATTGCTAGACAGACTTGCCAAGTAAAATAAATTAACAAACTAGTATAGACTGAGGTTAGTGATTAGGGGGATCAGAATAAAATGTTTGTACTGAAAAGGGACTTCTAACATTGCTCTGGGATGGGGTGGAGACAGGACAAGTGGCTAGGGTACCTGGTGGTGTAGGCGTGGCTCCAGCACATAGGGTACCCGGTGGCATACACGTGGCTCCAGCACATAGGGTACCCGGTGGCGTAGGCGTGGCTCCCGCGCATAGGGTACCCGGTGGCATATGCATGGCTCCAGCGCATAGGGTACCTGGTGGCGTAGACGTGGCTCCCGTGCATAGGGTACCCGGTGGCATACGCGTGGCTCCAGCACATAGGGTACCCGGTGGCGTAGGCGTGGCTCCCGCGCGTAGGCTACCCAGTGGCATACGCGTGGCTCCAGCA